CTCCTTGGAAACCCTATCCAGGGTTGCTATGGGTTGGAACCAACTCGATGGCACTTAACAACAACAACATACTAATAAGGTGCTTGGTCTACCAAGAGGGTTGCTGCTAATACAAATGAAGAGCTGCTAACCTCATGATCAGCAGTTCAAAGCTACCAGATGTGGTTTGAACCCACCAACCACTTAGCAGAAGATGAGGTTTTACTCCCATAAAGCGTTACAGCCTCAGAAATCCTATATAGGCTATGAGTTGAAGCCAACTCCACAACACATAACCACCACCACCACCACAACCACCATCCTACAGATATACTCACAGAAACATACAAAGATGTACATAATGTTGTTTAGTGAATTGAGGAAAAAAATCAGAAATTACCCAAGTTATCAATCGATAAGGAAATGGGTAAACAATATGTCTATAAGATAGAAATCTCCATGGCTTTAAAAAAAGAAGAAAATGTACATCACTAACATGGGGAAAGCATCCTACATATTAATATGTGAACAAAGCAAATTATCCTATAGTACATATACTATGGAGTCCTGGTGTGGTGCTGTGGGCAAATGATCTAGACTGCAAAGTCGGTTTGAGCCACAAGGTCACGAGTTCAAGCTTACCAGCTGCTCCTTGGAAACCCTCTACAGGGTGGCTAAGGGTCGGAACCAGCTCAACAACATATACTACAGGAGCCCTGATAGTGCAGAGGTTAAGTTTTCTGCTGCTAACCCAAAGATCAGCACTATGAAACCACCAGCCACTCCACAGCAGAAAGATATGGAAGCCTGCTTTCATAAAGATTACAGTCTTGAACACTTTTTTCAAATATTTATTGGCCATTTGTATGTTTTTCCAACCCTATAGGGCAGTTCTATTCTTGTCCTGTAGGGTTGGTATGAGTCAGAATCAACTAGATAGCAACGGGATAGATACTATAATTTCATTTTTGTAAAAATATTACACATACTAATATAAAATGTATAATTAGTATATGCATAAAAAATCTAAAGTATTAAGCAACAAATTTAATGACAGTCATCTCAAGGGGTTGAGTTTATAGAGGATTTTCATTTTCTAAAGTTAAATATTATTTTGTATATAAACACATAGTACTTTCATAATCAGGAGAAAATAACTATTTTATGTGTTTCTATATTTATAAACTTCGTCTTTCATACTTTGGACATATTGTCAGGAGAGAGCAGTTGCTGGAGAAGGATATCATGTTTGGTAAGTTGGAGGGTCAGAGAAAAAGGAGGAAGACCCCCCAGTGAGATGGATTGGCTAAGTGGCAGCATCGATGGACTCAAGCGTGGCAACAATAATGAGGTTGGCCCAGGATCGGGCAGTGTTTCATTCTGCTGTGCAAAAGGTCACTATGGGTCAGTACCGACTGGATGGCACCTAACAACAACATTTTCAGAAGTCGAGAGAAAGAAAACACAGGGCAGTTCCTACAGGAACTAGAAGCGAACTATACCAAAGTTAACTACTTATTATGAATGAGCGGCCTCTCTAGCCAAAAATTTTATCTCCACCTGCAGAACTCCCTCCACTTGTTGACACTGGGAAATACCAACCTACACTCCCTTACTCCTAATTCTAAAATACAAAAAGTTCTGAAGCTTTCCTAAGTTTGACACAAAACCATTTGGTGGCAAAACTTGAACCTGAATTCATGTAAGAATAGTTAGATGATGTGTATCTCCTCTCCTTAGTGAGGGAATTTATTATACATTTTGTTGGAGAAATATTTAACTTTTTACTTTAAATTGAGTGAAGGTGTACGGAGCAGACTATAGGTTTTATATTCAACAAATTATATATTTGCTTCATTACAGTGACTGTAATCCCTTTCGTGTACCATCAGTTAACTCTTGCATTGCTCCCTGTGTCATCTGCTACCTTCATCTTTCCTCTGTCAACCTCCCTCTTGTTGTATATTGTCTGCCCTGTCACCCATGTTAACATGTCTACATCTAGTCCATGAATAATTTTCCCTCCTCCTCACATAACCATCACAGCATGTATCTTTTATCAAGAAAACTTTTCTGTAGATATATTTTGGTGTCTGATTATGAAATACTGTTTTCTGAAATTTGAAAAACTCTGCATCTTAAAACACACCTGGCCCAAGAGTTTTGGCAGGAGGATTCTAAGGACCCAAATTGGCTACTGAAGATTTCTTAGATTAGTAAGCATCTTCCTTTCAAAATGCAACTCTTCAGGAAGAGTAATGAACTGTCGGTCATTCGCAAAATAGGATAAATGTGTTCCCTTGCCTTCCTTTTAAAACCTCACTGATATCAGTCGCCAAGAAAAAAAGGGACAGGAACCTAGAAAGTTCTAGAACATGTGACATTTGGGGGAATAAGATATGCCTATGAGTCATGGTGTGGTGCTGTAAGATAAGCATTGGACTGCTAACTACTGTAGTGTAAGCACTGGACAGCTAATCACAAAGTTGGTGGTTCAAACTCACCAGCTGCTCCTCAGAAACCCGACCACTATGAGTCAGAACGAACTTGACAACACTTAATAGCAGGAGTCTGGTGCACTGTGGGTTAGACATTTGGCTGCTAATCTCTAGGTCAGTGGTTCCAAGCCACCAGTCACTCAATGGAAGTAAGATGAGGCTGTTTGCTCTGGTAAAGATTTACAGTCTTGAAAACTACATAGGGTCACTATGAGTCAGAAATGACTCATTGGCAGTGGGTTTGGATTTGGTTTGTAGAGAGGTCCTCAGAAAAGGAAAAGTGCCAAGAGACCTAGAAACCTAAGCAAAAAGATAGAGATTCAGAAGTAAGGGCACAGTTGTTCAAATCTCTGCCAAAATTCAAGCCAGGTGCAAGTATGAGGTCAGAAACTCACTTACCCTTCCCACCTGTCTTGCAAATCCTGATCCCAGAATTGAGGCCCATGCCAGCAGCAAATTGCTTCTTTAAGTTAAGATGCTAAATAAAAAGCTTTGTAGGCCAGCTGATAACCTAACCACATTTTTAAAGGAAAATGTGTTCCAGATTCCAAATAAACAACTTGCAAGTGATCTTTGGGAACATAACTTTTTTGAGAGTACTAGTGCCTACAAGGAGTCCTGGTATGGCGCTGTGGGCTAATGCGTCAGACTGCAAAGTCATTTGAACTGCAAGGTTGGTGGTTCAAGCTCACCAGCTGTTCCTTGGAAACCCTATACACGGTTGCTATGGGTCGGAATCAACTCGATGGCACTTAAACAATAACAAACAGTGCCTACAAGAGGCACCCCTCCTGACATTTATTCCACAGGGAAGAAAACCTCCAGGTCTGGGCATGCCCTTCCCAGGAGAAAAGCCTCCTTGTAGGAGCCACTGCAACAAAGCACTAATAAAACCACAAACAAATATTCAAGTCACCAGAACATTCAATCTAAAGTCAAAGAAACAAGTCTTCAAATACAGGATCATGATAAATGAGATCAAGCCCACAATCTCTGTCTCTGACAAAAATGCCAAGAGGAAGTGGGGGGTTCCCTTGTGATTTTACAGAATAAGATGGTAACGTCCATTGTTTTAAAGATCTTCCTAAAAAACTCCAAAGAATGCATGTTCCATCATCTACCATTTGAGAGCCTATCTACATGTTAAACAAGTACCACCCTTATTGAATGCACACTAAGTCTCTGAAGAAGGTATAGTAGCCTCATTTTAAGAGATAAGAAAATTTGAGATTCAAAGGATGAGACTTGTAAGATAGAGCTCAGTATGTAGCTCTACAATCCACTACATCGTCAAGAGTTAAATAAGACTTCTTTCCACTTTTTCCAAACAGCAGCTCAGCAGAGAAAGCTAAGGCCTTCTGCTCCAGTAAAGATTTACAGTCTCAGAAACCCAAAGAAGTTTTAATCTGTCCTATATAGTCACTATGAGTCAGAATCAACTCAATGGCAGTGTGCTTGGTTTTATATCTCCTGATGTCATTACTGGAACTTCTAAGGGCAAATGCACAGGGGTTTTGTACAGAAAAAAATAAATGTCTCATTTCAAATGTTCTAAAACACTGTATCCAATTCTTGTTCATGTTTTTGGGAGGGCAGAAAGGATACCTCTTCTGGTCTTGAAAAATATATCCCTCCTAGTCCCTGGGTGATGCAAATGGTTTGCAATTAGCTGCTAACCTAAAGGCTGGCAGGTCAAACATACCCAGTTTAGAGAGGAGAACAATCTGACTGGCAATCTATTTCCATAAAGATTACGGTCAAGGAAAACACATAAGCAGTTCTACATGTAGTGTACGAGTTGCTATGAGTTGGAATCAACTTGATGGCACTGGGTTTGTTTTTTTCTGTTTTTTGAGAGGCTCCAAAGGAATCATGGAATGCAATGAAAGATAGGGCAGAAGAAACATGGAATGCTTTTGAAACATTAGCTGTGTCTCGCTTAGCCTATTTTCTCCTCTGTCAGAATGTGAAAAGCGATCTGTGGTCAGTTCTTCCTCTCTCAAGAGAGATTAATAGCTTTCCATTTCTCCAGGAAAGGAGTCTCTCGAATTAGATCCTTCTCTAGCATCTCCACCCTGGATTTCCAGCTATTTGAGATGAACTAAAAAGAAGCCACGGATCGGGCTGCCAACCGCAAGGTCAGCAGTTCGAAACTACCAGCTGCTCCGCGGGAGAAAGATGAGGCTTTCTGCTCCCGTAAAGATTTACAGCCTCGGAAACCCTGTTCAGGGTCGCTATGGGTCGGAACCGACTCGAAGGCACTGAACAACAACAACAAAAAGAAGCCACACTGTGTTGTTTTTTTAAAGTTGCAGACAATGATGCCAGAGAGACTCTCTCATCTCCTTACACGACCAGCCTGGTTAAATTAGTGGTTTAGACATCAAGGGCAGTTCCTGTCAATAAATTCTCCGTCACTGAAACTCCAGACCAGCCTCCCAAAGAGCGGGAGGGGAGGTGGATGAGGGGTGGGCAGAGCTCCGGAAGTAACTGGAAAACGGGGGGTCAGGCCCACTGAGGACCACCCCATAGCCAGCAGGGTCTAATCACACTGGCCCCCTGTCCAGGCAGCTTCCCCACTAAGTCGGCACGCACAGCCCAGGTGTAGAAAAGGCCTCTCTCCTTCAGGCTGTGGCGCTGCACTCAACCCTCGGACAGCCCAGCCTCCGCACTCCCCGACCATCAGCAGATTCCTTCGCAGTTCCGTTTTTGTTCTCTTTGGAAAGAGAGCCTCAGGGTCCTGCAAGGGCCCGAAGAGCCTCCTCACCTCTTCTCCCTGAGGGCGTCTCAACTCTTGCTCTTTACTTCCTCCGGGCCGGTCAGCTTTGGACCTCGCGGTCCCCCATGTCCTGACCTCCCGCTCTTGAGCCCCCCACGCAGCACCCCTTTCCCGCCCCCATGCCTGGTACCGCCTCCGCATCACCATCTCACCCAAGCCCGGCCCGGTCTTACCTGTCGGCGGCTGCCGCTCACCCTCAGCCATCTTCCTTTTGCCAGAAGCTAGCCCGGAAGCCTCCAGTCCCCTCTCACCTTTCACCCCCGAACCCACCCTTACTTTCCCCTGCTCCACCGTGGGCGCAGAGGACTCTGAAGAGAAATGGGCACTGGCCGGCTATAACCGAAAACTGAGAATTAAAGTCACCCCAGAGCAGACGACCGCCATGTTGGTGCGGGGCACTCAGGGAGCATGCTCGCCAACGGCCAACTCGAGGATACCACACTTATTGAGAGGCGGCGGCCATGTTAATGCGGGGCTTTCGGGAGCATGCGCACCAACCGCTGGCTCGCCACCCTACCAGCAACCGCCCGCCGGCTAATGGGGGAAGCAGTGGCAGCCATACTTTTGAGGGGCTGTCAAGGTTAGTTAGTACAGCAGCCACGTTTCTGCGGGGCAGGCCCCACCTGTCACCTTCGTGCATGGCACTGACTCTATCCTGAGGAATATTATAGGACATTCTCATGTCAGCAAGGTTTGTGGTTTTGGCGATATTACAAGAGTAACGCTCAAGGGCACCAAATGGCCTGAGAGAGGTGCACATCATTGCCTTCAACAACTTAGTCAGTAAGGGCGCATACTACATTTGAACGTCAGGGAGAGAAAGCTGAGTAGTAACTTCCAGCTCGCCAGTCCGGCCAGCTTCCAGGGATCTCGTAACTGCGAACCCTTCCCCTTGGCCCCGCCCCCTGGATGGCTCCGCCCTGAGACGTAGCCCCGCCCTGGATTCGCAGCTAGCGGCTCGGGGTCCACAGACAACCAGAGGCTCCTCCCTGCGAGTCCTCCCTCCTCCCGGCCGCGCGCCCGCCCGCACGGTGCGGTGGGTGGGCGCGGGGCCGCCTCTATCGGCGGCGGCAGTGATTCGGCGACCTTGACCTGGCAGCTCTAGAGGGGACCCACCGCCACAACAGCGGCGGAGGCACGGACTTTGACCAGAGAGGGGGCGGAGTGGACTGTGTGTCCGCTGGCGGGCTACAAGATGTTGGCCTTCGCGACCAGGACCATGGTGAGTGCGGTCGGGAGTCTGGCTCCGCTGGCCCTGGACCGGACAGGAGGGCCACGGGCCTGGTAGACTAAGCAGCTGCGCCAGAATAGGGAAATGGGCCCGCCGAAGCAACGTAGCTGGGCGGCATCAAGCGGCCTCTATCAGGCCCAGCTTCCCACTGGTGGGGAGGGGTCAGGTCAGCGGGTGGGTTTCTCCCATTTGTCGGAGGAGGAAACTGAAGTGCAAGATTGGCGGTGGGGGGGTGGGAAATCGAACCCACGTCTGTGACGCTAACGTCCAACAACCCGGAAAAGATAGCTTCAATCTTCATCTCCACCCTTAGACCTAGTCGCAGGTGCCGGTGCCGCGTATAGGGAGATCGGGAGTGTCCAGTCAGGCACGCACCCCCATCCCCACACTCAAGCTGAACTGTCTTTGCCCAGCTCAGAGTCACTTCTCTGACCCCATCCAGTTGGCCAGTCTTCTGGAGTTTATCAAATGGCCCTTGTGTGGCCAGAGAAATTCTCCTGGAGGCATCAAGCTTAGCAGCTCACAAAGTTCTCAACTGACAGGTGGCAGCCTCAAGTCGTCCTGCCCCAAACCTGTCCACATCTGCCCACTTCTCTTCCCCAGAGAAAGCAAGCCATGCTGCTTTCCCCCATTTGAACTCCTGTCCTCTCTGATCCAGGGATATCTCTGCTTGTATCTCCCACTGTCTGTGCCAAGAAGAATGTTTAAACAGACACAACCAGGCCGGGAGGGCTGAGGATACTTGTCCATTGGCTTAGAGGCTCAGGCATAGAGACTCTAAGGGGCCTTCCAAGACCCTGAGGTTCTTTCTTAATCTTGCCACTGCCACCTGCATGGTCCCCCATTCCACTCACAAACTCTGGGTCGTCCCACGGGCGTGCCTGGTTGCCTAATCACTTTCCTGCTAGAGAAACTGAGGCTAGGAGGGACTCAAGTTACTCAAGTCTAGATCATTTCCAAAGCCTTTTAGTTTATTTTTGTTGTTGCCATCAAGTCAGTTCCAACCCATATCAACCCTGTACAGGATTTATCATTAATGCCAAAAGATCACTACTCTTGGCCCCTGACTTCAAGAGGTTGAGAAAAACAGGCCTCCCAGAAATACCTTGAGAGTCCTGGAGGGAAGTGTGGGGGGAGGGCCAAGCTCTTAGTAACTACTGCCTACTTGTAGTCTTCCCCTGGTGCCTGCTCCCTTGCACTAGCCATGATTTCAGGACTAACTGCTGGGCTGTAGTGTAACTTCAGTGGCCAGGTAGTTTCTGTCCTCCAGTCAAGTTTTCCCTCATCAAACAGATCCCCACAGGTGGATTTTTAAATACCTTTTAGGCCTGCCTCCCTGGTGTTGAGCCCATGCAGAGAAGAACATGAGAATGTTTTCCAAGTTTCCTCTACTCCAGTGCCCAGCTCTGGTCCCCTCCCCTGCTCCCCATTCCTTTACTTCTGGAAGCTAGGGAGGTGGAGCAGCTTCTAGAAGTTCAGCAACTTTTCCTGCACGTCTTCATATGCCACCACCGAAGCCACCACTGCCTCCCCCTGAATCTTGGCTCTTGTCTTCTCTTTCCAGCCCAGGCAGGTGGCTGCCCTTTGCTAGGTTCTGCTCGCCCGCTCAGTAGCACAGTTAGGCTTAGAGATCCAGCCTAAGGCAGACAGACAGGGCTCAGAACCTCAGTCCTGCCATGGAGGACGGGCAGCAGGGAGAGAAGGTATGGAACCTGGAATGGAGCCTCTGCAGCTTGCCTGTCCATTGCTTCAGACCCTCCTGTCTTTTTCCACTGCCTTCCAGAGTCTCCTGGACTCCCTCTATCTCTACCACCTCTCACCCTCCATGCCAGACTGCCCAGCTCTCTCTTACCCTAGCACTGCCCCTATGCCTCCTCTCCTCCCACCGACAGGCAGGAAAGGGCCGAGGCCTGGCCTAAGCCAAAGGTGCTGTCATTCTCTGGCTCTGATTTTCTCTTCTTCCCTCGTATTTTTCAATCTGGAAAGGGTGGGAGGAAAGGAGGTGGTGACCTCCTGGAGGAGCAGTGGTCCTCTCCATTCTGGCTGCCTCCTTTTCCCAGGGAAAGAAAGGCGGGGCCCTGTTCATTGAGGTAGGTGGGAGGACACCTTCACCCCACCCCTACCCCCCAGCAGGTACCATCTCTTCTGGCTCGGGTTCCCCAGAGTCCTGCCCAGGTCAGTGGCCACACCCAGCCCTCCCCTCTCCCTACCGGTATCTCTAGGCCCCTATGAGGTGGGGACACCCACAGCTCGAGGGCTCTCAGGGGTGTATACAGCACTGCCCAAGAGGCCGTCTCTGACCCTAGGGATGGATACATACGTGCCCAGGACTGCAGGACTGGGGTTATCAGTGCCTCCTGTCCAGAGCTGGTAATAGAATGAGCAGGATGTTCTACTGCCTGCAGGTGAAGCCCTTAGGCTTCCTCAAGTGTACCTCCCTGACGAAGGTTCCCGGCCGCTTCAAGGCACACCAGGACATGCTGCCCCGGCTGCCAGTGCCCTCACTTCAGCAGTCCCTGGACCATTACCTCAATGCACTCCAGCCCATCGTGAGCGAAGAGGAGTGGACCCAAACCAAGCAGCTGGTGGATGAGTTTCGGACCCCAGGGGGTGTTGGGGACCGCCTGCAGAAGGGACTGGAGCGCAGGGCCAAGAAGACAGAGAACTGGGTGAGTGAGACAGCAGGGAAGGATGCTAGTCCCCCTGGATCTTATGGGGTGAGGGTGGGGTGGAGTCTGAAGACAGGGGCCCTGCCAGAGGCTCCAGGTCCTGTTAAGCATTCCACACTGTGTGCTGTGCTATTGTAGGCTGCATTCACAGAACTTTCAAATACCAGGCTGCTATAATGTTCATCCATGGACTTTCTTAAGCATTTACTCTGTAAGTGCGGGGTGCTGGGTGAGCATACATCTTGCAGTGGACATTCAAGCAGAGGGAGAGAGGTAATGAGGATACAAGTAAAGAGAGGAGGTCATTTCAGTCTGTAGAGTTCTACAGAAATAAAAAAGGTGCATGAAGAGTGTTGTGATGAGGAGTGGCAGCTTCTTTATTTTGAGTAGTCGGGAAGGCAGGGAGGAGGTGGCATTGAATCTGAGACCTGAGGGTCTGAAACAGAGGGAGAAGCACAGGCAAAGCAGGGAGCAACCTTACCTAGGAGATCAGAAAGAGTAACAGGGCTGGAGTACAGGCCAAGGTAGAAGAACTTGGACTTGGGTAGGATGGGAATCCGTGGGCAGCTTTCCACAGGGGGCTTGTGCTGTTTAAATAATGTTACACAGATCTGTCCAGTTTGTGAAAATGTATTCACTTCAGCTGTGGGTACTTTTCTCTGCTGCTGGGAGGGAAGTCCATGAGGTGGCTGGTGCCATTATCCCAAGGGAGATGTCAGCATCATGCACCCAGGGTAGTGATAGGAAGAAGGTAGAAAGTCACTAGAATCAAGATGTGTTTTGGAGGGAGCACCAGTGATACTTGTGGATGGGGAGTAGGAGTGAGGGAGAATGTCCTGACCTAAAGCAACTTTGTAGGAGAGTGGATTTGCCCAGGTGGGAACAGCAGAGGGAGAAACAAGCTTTTAAGAGACAATGAGTGTTGTCTTTTGGCTGGTAAAATGGGAGTGGTGTGTGGAACTGCCAAGTAAAGATGGGGTAGGCAGCAGGTAGAAAACTGACCCTGGAGCTCTGTGGAGAGGTGTAGGGCTGCATGCAAGACATAGGTGTCACTAGTTCCTGGGTAGCATTTACTGAGCCATGGTCCGTCAGCCTTAGATTCCAGAATCAGGATGCTGGCCCTGGAAGGATCCTAGAATAAGGGGTTGTTGTGTGTTAAGGCTTGTCAGAGCAGTCACCTGGGAGTGGGGGGTAGTGTATCGCCCCACGACAGGAGTTTGTGACAGCTCACCCATCGGTAGGTGACCTCCAGAGAGACTGTTCACCCCCCTTGCAACAGCCCTGCCCCAGGGTAGAGGACAGACATCAGGGTGGAGACACGGGATGTGACATACACAGCTTGTCACCAGGACAGTGATCTACCCTTATCATGAGCTTCCCCCTCAGATTGCCCAGACCTTAAGATCATCATTAAGAGCAAAGTGGGTGTCCACTTGCCCATCAGACACCCAGAAAACCAAATCCAGAGAAGGAACATGGTTCTGTGGGCTGCTCTGAAACCCTGCTCTCCTGCCTCTTTGGAGAACTCCCAGCTGGGGACAATCAAAAACACTTATGTTTTATTTTCTTTTAATATTGTACCCCCTTTGTTCTTTTTATCTATCTAAGCACACATCTTTATTTATAATTGCATCATGATCATTAACAGAGAACTTGTAAAATAAAGAAAAACCTTTCATATTCTTGCTCCCTTTCTTCTCCCAACCCCAGTCTTTCTTTTCCCTTGTCATTTTATTGGCAGTGTTTTCTGCTTGCTCTTGCCAATCTTGATTGACTCAGGCTAAGGGGAAGCTAATGACAGTGTTGCTGATGGGTTTAAGGTACCTGGGGTGTGCTGTGGATATGAGCAGTCACCCCAAGAATGTGCAACATGAAATACTGTGTGACCTCATTTATATGAGATAAATAAGCAAGTACAATGATGGCTGTGTGCCGTGGAGTTGGTTCCAATACATAGCGACCCTGTACAGGGTTTCCGAGGCTATAAATCTTTATGGGAGCAGAACGCCTCATCTTTCTCCTGCGGAACAGCTGGTAGTTTCGAACTGTTGACCTTGGCGGTTTGCAGCCCAATTTGTAACCACTATGCTAAGCAAATACAGTATGACCTGTAAAAGCTGGAAGCTGTATAAGGTGGAAATTTGTCAAAGAAGGGAAACACAAATATTTTCCACTAATAAAGAGCAGTGGAAAAGTAGAAGGGCTGCACCCCGAAAAAGCAGAAACATGTAAGACCCCGGAGAAACAAGACAGCCCTGTTGAGGCCCAGCTTTCATGGGTATCACTATATACAGAAATTAAAACACACTGGAGCCAGGGGAGAGGGTGTAAAATGGAAGATTTTGCTTGAGGGAACTGAGCTTAGGCTAAAGGTAGAGAGAGGACTGTATGACATGGAGGCTACCCACTGCCATCCAGTGGATCCTAACTCAGTGACCTGCAGGACAGAGTAGATCTGCTCCCTAGAGTTCCCAAGGCTCTAAATCTTTATGGAAGCAGACTGCCTCATCAGCTCCTACAGAGTGGCTGCTGAGTTCCAACCACTGACCTTTTAGTTAGCAGCCCAACGTTTAACCCACTGCACCACCAAGACTCCTTTTTTGTACATGTTATTGTTGTTAAATGCTGTCAAGTCAGTTTCAACTGTACAGGGTTTCCAAGGAGCGGCTGGTAAGTTTGAATCTTGCTGTTCAAACTGACCTTGTGGTTGAGTGTTTATCTTACAGCGCCACATTGCACACGTGGTGGTGGTGGTGTGCCATGGAGTCGGTTCCAAGTCATAGCAACCCTGCATAGGGTTTCCGAGGTTGTAAATCTTTGCAGGAGCAGAAAGTCTCATCTTTCTCCTACAGAATGGCTGGTAGCTTCAAACTGCTGACCTTGAGGTTAGCAGCCAGACTTATAACCACTAACTGTTAAATTGGCAAATTTTTCGTGTGTTTTCATTACAGTTTTTTGTTTTAATCAAATTAAAAAAGAATACCCACAAGCCACCCAAAGTCTGTGATTGGCAGAAAGCGCACAGGACACTGGGACCCAGCCAGGTCCCCTGGCCCTGAAGGTGAATGGGCAGCAAGTTCCCTCCCACCCATCCTGATGGGCTCTGGTCCTTCCCCTCAGCTGTCCGAGTGGTGGCTCAAGACAGCTTACCTCCAGTACCGCCAGCCTGTAGTCATCTGCTCCAGCCCTGGCCTGGTGCTGCCCAAGCAGGACTTTGTGGATTTGCAGGGTCAGCTCCGGTGAGTGGTTGAGGCTGGGGACAAGTTGGGGAGAGGGCAGGCAGCCAGAGGGCAGGGCTCCAGGATTTCCAAGGCCCTAAAGTCCACCTCCCCCTGAACAAATGGGCCCTAAACCTGTTCATTAGCTTTCATCCCCACAAATAATCTTTTGTGAGGTGTAGGGAGCATTATCCTTATATCACAGATGGGGAAACTGAAGCTCAGACAGTGAAGGAACCTGACCAGGGTCACAGCTCCAGACTGACCCAGCTGAGGCAGGAAGCAGGGTTTCTCCAGCTCAGAAGCCTCCTATTAGCCACCAGGGCTCCCTCCCCCAAACCTGGGGCTCCCCTCCACCACCACGATCTTGATCCTTCACCCTTCCTTCCCTTTCTCTTGGGTTGACCACAGGGGTGACCTTTGTACACAGTCCCCTTTTCCACATTCGGCCTCATCACCTGCCCTGGCCTCTATTCCAGTCCTCCCAGGGATAAAAATACCACCAACAGGGATCTCCTTCCCAAGGACTCAGGCCACCACCTGCTTCTCTTAAAGGGACCAGGGCACCCTGAGGAAGGGACAGCCCAAGACCTCTAGCTGGTCTCTGTTTTGGGGGTCTGAGGCAGCCCCAGGCATCAGAGTGTTATTGGTGCAATCCACAAAACCTTTGCTCATATGCCCAGGGGGTCTAGGGAGGAATACTGGGTTTAAGGAGATGGCATGTAGAAGGAATGAGGAGCCAAACAGGGGAAAGGATCTTTCAAGCCACTGCCCTCTGATTGATAAACACGCTTCCCACAGGCCTGGGTCCCTCCATAACCGATGCTTCAAAGCCGGTGATACACGTACCCCTAGACTCCAGACTTTTGCTCGGGGCCTCTGGCCCTATGGAGATAGAATCAGCTGGCACTGACCCCTAATCAAGCCTTCATCACACTGCCATTCGTTAGCACCAAAGTTGTGCCATACCCTTGACCAACAAGTGTCTCCTTAAGCCCCCCTTCTCTCTAGTATTTAAGAGGAAGCAAACTCAGAGGGCCTTTTGGTGAGCTCCAGGCAAGCAAGAGGAATGAAGCAATCAGCCACCTGCTATATTCTGATTGCTCTCCCTGCTTGCTCTGGACTGAGCCTCTGGACCCCGCCTCCTGTGTATCTGTATCTGCAGAGCTTCTGATCTTTTCTCTAATTGGTTCCTCCAGGTTTGCTGCTAAACTCATTGAGGGTGTGTTGGATTTCAAGGTCATGATTGACAAGTGAGTTGCCCCAGCCCCACCCTCTCATGCTTCCTTCCAGGGCAAAGAGGGGCCAGCACAAGTGTTCTAGGCCTCCCACGCCTGCTTTGACATGCCTAATTACCACAGCCACTCCAGCCTGCCCTACTGCCTCCCCTCAACCCCAAGCTCTGGCCCCAATGAGGTAGCCTGGGCACTGGGCAACCAAAGTTCAGTCAGCTTTACTTCCTGTTTGCCCAGCTTCTTTGAACTAGAGGAGACCAATCATGGGGATTGGCCCTGAGCTCTAACTACTGTGACTGCCTCCTGATGACACTGGAAGTGGGGCATCCTAGCCACAGAGGCTCCGGGAGTGGGGGGTGGGGGTGGGGGGTGTGACTCACAGCCTCATTGTTCCCAGAGAAGGGGCAGAGTTTCCAGGGTGACTCATAGCAGGGCCAGCCAGGACAGAAAGCAGCTCCTGACACCCTCCAGCCCTGCCACTGACTGTAGGAGCACCATTCTGCCTGGCCTAACTCCTACAGTACCTACAAGGTTTTTCAGTCCTCTTCTCCTCTCCCCACTTACTGGTCCCCTGTCCCCACAGTGAGACCTTGCCTGTGGAGTACCTAGGGGGGAAACCACTGTGCATGAACCAGTACTACCAGATCTTGTCCTCCTGCCGCGTGCCAGGCCCCAAGCAGGACTCAGTCCTCAACTTCAGCAAGACCAAGAAGCCACCCATGCACATCACCGTGGTACACAACTACCAGGTGGGAGGCCTGCTGCCCACAGCTCTGTACCCCCATTTCACTTCCCCAGTACACATACTCAGGTGTGTGGGCCTTTGCACCGGGTGCCCAGGTAACTCCAGACCTGAAAGGAGCCCAGGAGGAAGCTGTGGGCAGGCCAGACCTGGAAAGGGCAATCCAAGGCCGTACTCCTCTCTCTTGCCCTGGACCTGATTCACCAGTTTTCCTAAGCATGGGTGGCAATGCCCATAACCTGAGACATGCTGAGGCTAGGAGGAGGCTGGTGTGAGGATGTGACTCCTGCCTGCCTGAGATCCCCAACCCTGAGATCCTCTCTCTGTCCTGGGCAGTTTTTTGAGCTGGATGTATACCACAGTGATGGGACGCCCTTCACCTCGGATCAGATCTTCACACAGCTGGAGAAAATCTGGAATTCATCATTGCAGGCCAACAAGGAACCTGTAGGCATTCTCACCTCCAACCACCGTAACTCCTGGGCCAAGGCATACAACACGCTCATCAAAGGTGCTTCTTCAGCCCGAGAACAGGGGACCAGGGAATCCAGGGATCCAACCTATCCAGGCCTCCTCTCACACCAGGCCTGGGCCCGACACCAGGGCTTCCTCTCACACCAGGCCTGGGCCCGACACCAGAGCTTCCTCTCACACTAGGCCTGGGCCTGACACCAGGGCTGGGCAGCCATGCTTGCCACTGCTCCTCTGCAATCAGAGTAGGGGCTGTTGTCCTCACTTTACAGAGGAGAAAACTGAAGCTCAATCTGGTTGAGTTTCCCTCCATTAAACTGCAAATTGGATTAGATTCCAAATTCTTGAGGAATCCACCTCTACCCCTTGGCCCCTAAACCTCCAAATGTTCTGTCGGTATTATCACAAGAGCTGGGTAACCTGCGCTGGATTTCTGACCACCACACTGACTTCCAGTTTGACCTTAGGTTTCTGTTTGCTCATGTTTAACATGGGTTCAGATGTTGGTCCCTTCCTCACTGAATGTTGTGAAGCTGCAAGACTCTGAGGAGTGAATCCCTTATCCCATATCCCAAGGAGAATGTTCTAGAAGTCCAGGCCTCCACAGCAGGAAGTGTCCTATCCCCAGAGGGGCACGAATATGCCAGAAGAACCCTGGGTAAGGAGGACCCTAACACTCAGTCCCTCTTGTGCTGCATGCAGACAAGGTAAACCGGGAGTCAGTACGCTCCATCCAGAAGAGTATTTTCACCGTGTGCCTGGATGCACCTGTGCCGCGAGTCTCCGAAGACATGTACCGCAGCCACGTGGCTGGCCAGATGCTGCACGGTGGTGGTAGCAAGCTCAACAGTGGCAACCGCTGGTTTGACAAGACTCTACAGGTAGGTCTCAACTGAGGACCCCACAGTGGCTATGATTCCCACATCCAAGTGTCCACTCTAGCCCTAGGAACATCCTGCCCCTCCCATGGCCCTGCATCCCTGGCTTTCCCACTTGTAAAGTAGGTAGGAAGCCAGCAGGCTGATATTACAAGGTCTGGTACTCTGACCCTGAAGACGGTCAGCCCAGCGCACCCCTTCAGTTCGTGGATAGAGGCTGAGTGGGATCCACGTCCTGACCAAGCTGTGCAGTCTTAGCCATGACTTGCCCTCTCAGTATCTATAAAACCTGGTGGTAGTGGGCTCCCCACTGGGGTAACTGCAAGGGCTTAGTGAGACACATTGAGCATGGGACATACTTAGGACAGACCTGAGATAGGCATCCTGGGACACCCAGTGAATGTTAGCTGTTAGGAATAACAGTAGGAGGTCAGTAAAATCCTTGGAGTGGCTCTTCCCATGGACTCCAACCAGCGAGTGACTGGGCCAGAGACCACCCTCTACGGACCATGTGGGGCTGATGGGCATCCCCCATTTCCCTCCAAGTTCATCGTGGCAGAAGACGGCTCCTGTGGGCTCGTATATGAGCATGCTGCTGCTGAGGGGCCCCCCATCGTCGCCCTCCTGGACCACATCATTGAGTTCACGTAAGATGGTTTCTCCACCCCCAGTTCCCCAGTTACTGGTGACAGGTGACATACGGGATGTGAGGGAACATCATTTTCTTTAACTTATTCCTAGAAATCTGTTTCTTCAAAGGAAGACTACTACTATGAGAGTCAGACCTGGGTTTGACTTCTGCTTCTGCCACTTCTAGTTGTGTGACCTTGGGCGAATCTCTTCCCCTCTCTAGGCCTCAGTGTAACCACCTGACCCCGTCCAGCTTCAGGAAACCTGTCCTCCCCACCCCAAGCCCAGGGATTGGCCCAGGCTCTGAAGGCACTGGCACAAGCCTGAGGCCTTATGTCCCATGCAGGAAGAAGCCTGAACTTGTGAGATCTCCCATGGTACCTCTGCCCATGCCCAAGAAGCTGCGGTTCAACATCACCCCAGAGATTAAGAGTGACATCGAGAAGGCCAAGCAGAACCTTAGCATGTACGTACTGGCTCCACCACAACTGTGTGGCTGGGTAGAAGTCAGAGTGGTTCCTGCCCCGGGCCTGTCATTGAACCCAGCTCTGTTTCTGAGTTTGCCTTCTCAGGGCTGTCAGGTGCCTGCTCCTCATCCTCTTTCCCTGCCAGATGCCCTTCAGCCCCCAGCGCTTCTCTGTCTCTAGACCCTGGCATACACTGTACTCTGCCTGACATGCTCTTTCCTTTCTCCAACACCTGTGACAGCATGATCCAAGACCTGGACATCACCATGGTAGTGTTCCACCACTTTGGGAAGGACTTCCCCAAGTCTGAGAAAATGAGCCCAGACGCCTTCATCCAGATGGCCCTGCAGCTGGCCTACTACAGGTCTGCCCCACTTCCTGCTGACCCAAGAAGGAGGGTTGAGATGGGGGTACACAGGAAGGGTGTGCTCAGCTCCGTCTCCCACCCAGGATCTACGGGCAGGCGTGTGCCACATACGAAAGTGCCTCCCTGCGCATGTTCCACCTGGGCCGCACAGACACCATCCGCTCAGCTTCTGTGGCTTCACTCGCCTTCGTCAAGGCCATGGATGACTCCAATGTGACGGTGAGAGGTTCAAAGTGAGGGTGGGTGAGCTGAGCGGGAGCTTCCCCTTCCTGTTCACTCAGTCACCATATACTGACTATTACAACCGGGTGCTGGGCCCTGGGCAAATGGGATCATGAATTTAGCTCCGAGCTTCCTGGGAACCAAAGAAGAAAAGGAACTACTGATTGATTAATTGACTGATTCACTAGGATCACCAGAAGGTAGAGCTGCTACGGAAGGCCATTCAGGCACATCGAACCTACACCAACCTGGTGAGTGAGGCCCACCTGTCCCACTTGCCACCTGTGGTCTATCTGCTTGTCTTTCTCTCCAGTAAATGCTCACTAACCCTTAGCTAGAGCACCACTCCCCTGAGCCTTGGGGCACCCAGAGTAAAGCTGAATATCCCCATGTTAAAGTTGGAGAAACTGAAGTAAGGCCTAGTAATTGCCTTGGTTCAGGTTTTGAGGTAAGCATAGGCATCTGGATCTTGTGTTCTACACATTCTCTGATGTCCTCAGGCAGCAGGGTCCCTGCCTTCTGACAGCATGGCCATTAGACATGCATGGCAGGAAGGGACTCTGGTTTCTGATCCTGGCTCTGTCACAGACTGTATGCTAGGCTCTGCCTAGCCTTGGTAACATGCAGACATCCATTTAGAACACACTGCCACCCTGTGAGGCAACTTCAGCAACTATCTCCATATCACAGATGAGGAAGCTGGGGCTGTAAGACTAAAGTGACTTCCCACAGTCCCACGGTCAGGATGAGGCCAGGCCATCCAGGTCCAGAGCCCCAGTTCTAAAGTCCAACACTATACTGTCTCTTCCTGGGCCTCAGTTTCCCTGTGAGGTGAGGGCTCCCCTGGCAGAACTCTCTGTCTCATGGTTCCAAAAGTCTGGTGAATGGAAGGGTGGTACTTGTACAGGCTTTGGAGCCCAGACACCCCAACTCCTGAAGGCTCTCTCCTCCCTCAGGCCATCCGCGGAGAGGCCTTTGACCGGCACCTACTGGGCCTGAAGTTGCAGGCCATTGAAGACCTGGTGAGCATGCCTGACATCTTCATGGACACCTCCTATGCCATCGCCATGCACTTCAACCTCTCTACCAGCCAGGTGGGCCACTGTCCTGAGGCCTGTCCAGGGACCCCTGTCCCTACCCCCTAGGTCCCTGGGGTAGGATGGACAAGAAACTGCTGGGAGCTGGAACTGAAAAAAAGCAGCACTGAACAGAGCCAAGGTTCAGACTATGGTTGGACCAGACTGGTTGAGAGTGATGTTGCCCATATAGACCCCCCCATGGCCCACTGCGGGAGACATTGGGTCCCTTGGCCTTCACTGAGATATGATGGGAGAATCAGCCTCCTTCCTTACTTGTCAGACATGAATGGATGAATGCCTGGCTATGGCCAGCTTGTGCCGAGCACTAGGGAACAGTCTTTGCCCTCAAAGGCTCAGGTCCAGTTGGAAAAGCACAAAGAATGATGCAATAACAGTCCCTTAGCAAATGCTGGGGGAGGGGAAGGGAGGAGAAAGCTCAGGGAACCAGAGGGATCTGGGAGTCCCAGGGAAGGAACACTTGAAGCCTCTCTGGGGGATCTCGGGGAAGGCTCTGTAGAGGAACTGACAATAGAAGTATACCCCAAAGGACGAGAGGGAGGGCCCATCAGACAGTACACTGTACATAAAGACCTGTTGTTGTTAGGTGCCGTCGGGTCAGTTCTAACTCACAGTGACCCTGTATAGGCTTTCTAAGGTGGTAAATCTTTACAGGAGCAGAAAGCCTCATCTTTCTTCCACGGAGTGGCTAGTGGGTTTGAACTGACGACCTTGTGGTTAGCAGACCAGTGCCACCAGCACTCCTTGCATAGAGATGTAGAGACACAAAAATGCAGACTGGGGGACACCAGGAGGAGAGGATTAACGTTTTATTCCTGTGCCACCCCCAGGTCCCTGCCAAGACAGACTGTGTCATGTGTTTTGGGCCTGTGGTCCCAGACGGCTATGGAGTCTGCTATAACCCCATGGAGGCTCATATCAACTTCTCTGTGTCAGCCTACAACAGCTGTGCTGAGACCAACGCCGCCCGCATGGCACACTACCTGGAGAAGGCCCTCCTGGACATGCGTGCTCTGATACAGAGTCACCCCCAGGCCAAGCTCTGAGCCTGCCAATGCCACAGCCATTGACTCCTCCTTTGCTGGGGCAGGTAGTAGAGTCTGCCTTCTCCCCCTGACCTTCCCAGATCTTAGGGGATACCCCTAGTAGAGCTTGCAGGCCCAAGTCAAGTGCCTTCCGTGAGTCATCTCAGCACCTGCTCTGACCCTTCCTGCTCTCGAGTTGAACTCAGAGGCCCCTTCTGGGGAAGGGATGGCCTGTGCCACACTATGAGACTGGGAAAATATTTCTTTCCTTACCAGCTCCATTCTGGCCAGTCCCTGCCCTCCATAGCTGGGCTGGGCTCTCTAACCTGTCCCATGATTGGCCAAGAACCTGGAGACAAAGAGCCCTAGGCTGCCTGAGTCTTCTTGAGAAGAACACCTGAGAGGTCAGGGTTGGGGATCGGAAGGCGAAGCCCAGGCCTCTTCCGCCCTGTGTCAGGGCACTGTTCCCAGGAGACTTGTGATTTTTCATATTGTCCTCATGAGCCCCAGCCCTCTCACTTCACTCAGCTTGATTCTCTGACCATGTTCATGGTTGCTGTATATTATTAATATATGAGGTAATCAATAAAGGGAAAATCTGTTGGTGAAGTGGCGCTTTAGCTGACGGAGTGGATAGAATGAAGCAGACACCTGGCCTTGCTCTCTTCCAGCATCCCCTGGGTCTAGAGCTGACGTCCAAGCAGCCAACAGAGTTCCCAGGGCTCCTCGGATCAGGGTCAACTGCAACCAGAGGACTGTGCTAGTCATAGACAACTTATCTACCCAGCTTAGATTTCCCCTAGTCCAATGGGCAACTCTCCAAGGGGACTGTGGGGCCTACAGACCAAGAGTGGGTAGTCTGGGCAATGTGTGGCTGACAGCCAGGGCCCAAGGCCTCATCTAGCTCGCCACTGAGGCCAACAGGAATGGTGGCACGGTCTTCAGTCCAGCCCCAGCTGCTGCCTGGGCAAACACCTGACCAGAACACAACACCCCACCCCACCCCCATGTACCTGCCAGAGGCAGGATGTTTTGCCAAAGTCAAGTGGGTTGTTTGTGGGAAAAGATGAGTTACCCCTTCTGGATACCCTAGCCCACAAGTAAGGTACTTTGAATCCCCAAGTAGATGCCAAATACGGGTGAAGAGAAGAGGTAACCCACCCTGTGCCATGGTCTGACTGACCTTTGAGACAGCCACAGAAAGTGAGTCCTGTTTCCCCTATTTTTCAGATGAGCAAACAGGTTCAGAGAGGTTAAGGTCACCTGATCACTAAATGAGTGGAGATTGAATCTGCCAGTCTTTCCCAGCCAGGGTCCTAGGAATCCCTGTAGTCCAGCCCCTAAGCCCCACTCCAAACCCACCCAAATGCCCTGGGCATAAAAAGGAGATGGGAGTGGAAGCTGCTCCAGGTGCCCACGACCTGGAGATGGTGGACAGGGCTGCAGCCTGGAAGGCACAGGACAGAGCCAGCTGGACTGGAGTACCCATTAGAGGGAGATAACCTGCAGAGGGCACTCTAGGCCTCCCAGGTGCCCTTCAGTCTCAGTAAATCCTCCCCAGCTCCATGAAGATGGCGCCTAATGGGGCGTCCTTCTACCAGGGCCCTCAAGGAGCAAGAAGGTGGGTGGTTTTCTCCTGGGCCCTTCAGCTGAGGGCCATGAGCAGGCAGTCCTGAAGAACCTCACCAGGGTGAGCATCCAGGCTTTGCTCTCCTGCCTGAGAACTCTGGGTCTGACCAGCTGTACAATGGCAGTAGTGCTATCTGGGGGATGATTACTGGGAATTGTAGGAAGCTTGGCTCACAGCAGGATGGACTGACTGCTGTGTGGAACAGCCAGGCAGGGGGCACACATATGACAAAAGGAGTTGGAAAACTCAAGTTCTATGAACCATATGAGAATCCTATAAGCCAGGATCTCCCTCCACAGACTTATGCTTCAGAAGCAAGGGCATCTTCTTAGTCTCATCTATGGAAGTGCACTCAATTCCTGTGAGCTACAAAGTACTCCACAGAGTCCTAGTGTGGTGCTGTGGGTTAATGCGGGGGACTGCAAAGTCGGTATGAACCACAAAGTCGGTGGTTCAGACTCACCAGTTGCTCCTTGGAAACCCTATACAAAGTCACTATGGGTCAGAACTGATTTGACAGCATTTAACACAAAGCACTTGGGGAAGACACGTTTGAAACCACCACAAACACTACATGGAATGCTTAAGCAGAAAGTGTCTGGGAACGTGGCAGATTTAGTCAGTATTTCTGAACTTGATCTGTTGACTTCACAATTTGCGAGTATTTTAAAGATCCCTGGAAAAGCAGTGAGGTGAGTCTTTGCTTGTGGCAATCACCAAGATACTTCTACAGTGTGGGTCTGTTTAAAGCCTACCTGTTTGAATGTTACACTGATGAGCACTTGTGGCTTCTGATAAAAATTCCCCTGTGATTCCATCATGCATGAAATCTGGAAGGCATTTCCATATCTGAAACCACTGGTAGTTAAGACAGTGTACCCAAAATTTAGACAGGTAAACCAGAAGTGGCCCTGGAGAGGGGGAGGCGGGGAAGACCAGGTCCTGATGCCAAAGCTGCAGGGCTTATGTGTGTGCCAAATATAAGCTTCAAAGAACTGTTCTAATTGTATACACCACTTGAAATTTGAAGGAATCTGGTGGCATAGTGGATTATGCATTGGGCTGACAAGATCAGTAGTTCAAATCCCAAAGCCACTCAGAGGGAGAAAGATGAAGACCCTGCTCCCATAAAGATTTACAGCCTCAAAAACTATACAGGGTCACTCTAAGTCAGAACCAACCCAATGACACACAACCACCACCACTTGATGTTTGAGAACATAATTAATTAAAGCTAGACATTTAGCTTTCATCAAAGTCCTCTCCAAGTATATAGATCCAAGTTGACATGGGCTTTATTTTGGCCCTTGACACTGGGAAATCCAAGGGCAGGTCTGGAGCAAAGCCTCCTCTGAAGACCAGACTACAGTGGTTCTTATACAAGGGCCAGTTAAGGAGTTGGGTTTTATCCTGAGTCCTACTGAGTCTGAGTGGACTCCTAGTGTGGCACTGTAGGATCAGCACTGGACTGCAAACCATAAGGTCAGAAGTTCAAACCCACCATCTACTCTTTGGAAACCCTACACAGAATCACCATGAGTCACAACCAACTTGATAGCACTTAACTGAGTCTGAGGAGGTGACATGGCTAGGTTTCTTTTAGGAAGATAGCGTAGTTGCTGTGATGTGAGAAATGAATTGAAGGGGACTGGGCTGTGAACAGGGATGAGGGAAACTGCTGGAGAGGCTTGACCTAGACTGACATGCCATAGAAGTGGAGAAAAGTGGATAGAGTTGAAGATGCTTATGAGAGTGAACAGGATTTAGTGACCGACTGAACAAGCGGAGTTGAGATTATTGTCCAGTTATCTGCTTAGGACTACAGGAAGGTTGGTGACACATCGCAAGGCTTGCTGAATAGCCCTTTTCCTCTATGATACACATTACTTTTTCTCTTCAACTGTGTCTACTCCAATTATATTTTTCAGTTATGATTCATTTTTAAATCTGCCAGAGCCCACTTTATAGTTTTCTGTTTCCTACAGATATCTTCAAGTTGTTGTCTTTTGTAAGACAGTAAAACTTAGTCTGTTCCTGATTACTTTCAGTATCTGAAGTGTTGGTGAGTCTGTTTCTATTGTCTCTAAAGGTTAGAATGAAAGTTCCTTCCCCAAGATTTGTCTCTGCCACACACCTGGGATCACTACCAGTCTGAAGCCAATGCTATGGATTAGATTTTGGGCTGCTAACTGCAAGTTTGGCAGCTCAAACCCACTAGTTACTCCACAAGTCAGAGATGAGGCTGTCTGTGCCTGTACAGATTTAGTCTTAGAAACCCTATATAGGGTCGCTATGAGTCAGTAGCAGTGGGTTTTGGTTTGGTTATAGACCACTCGGGAGACCTAAACCTAGATTTCAAGTCTACATGAAGATGAGGTTACTTCTGATTCACCCTCACATTGAGGACGTAGCTCTTTTGCATCTCCATTTAATGTAGGGAAGATCAGACTTCCTACCTTGGACCAGTCCTTGGGTTTGACTTTTGTTCATCCCACAAGTCCAGTTCAGCTTGCAACTATTTTTTCAAAGCAAGATAGTCATCTAGTCATGCATTTAACAGTGAATTCAACAGAGTGACTGTTTGTGCTGGAGGAGTTTCAGAAGTGCAAACTGGCTGTCCTCAGTCCTGAAGGGCTTGTTGGAATGGAGGAACTAGGTTTACTGAGAGCAGGTGCAGAGCCAGAGCCAGTAAGGACCAGAGACAGGCTGGAACTGAAAAGGGACAACTACTTATCGCTGAGCGTAGTGGTTACGAATCGGGCTGCAAACCTTAAGGTCAGCAGTTCAAAACTACCAGCCGATCCGCGGAAGAAAGATGAGGCTTTCTACTCCTGTAAAGATTTACACCCTCGGAAACCCTGTACAGGGTCGCTATGGGTCGGAACCGATTCGATGGCACTTAACAACAACAACAACACTTATCGCTGAGAGCTGTCTGGAAACAGGATACTAGATCTCAGGTCTCCTCACTGAAGGGATGCAACCAGAAGCTGGACAAAGCCTGGTGAACATCAGAGCCAACCCTTGCTTTGGGGGCTGAAGGGGACTAGATGTCTTGAGGGGCTTAAACATATCCTTACTCCTAAAGATCAGGTGTCCCCGCAGCGGACTCTGGCTATCTCTCATGAGTTCAGGTCAATATGCGCTCAAGCTGCCAGAGTTTATGATTTTATTTTAAAACAATAGTAAACAATTTCAATGATTTTTCTTAAATCAAACTACCTCACACTTGGCTTGTCTCAAGCAAAAAGTAAAAAATAAAAAGGGAAGGGGAGGGAAATGTGGGGACTGACCTACCTTCCCCAGAAATAAGCCCCTGGTCCTGGCTTCTGGAATGGCTTTTGGACACTGTCTTTAACAAATGAGAGAAAAGAAAGCACCAAAATATTGTGCTTCAGCAGCAGATTAGGAACCTCCACAAAGAAAAGAGGGAGAAAATGATTTGAAAACACATTCCAAGCAGCCTGGGTCAGTTCTAGAAACTCCCAAAACTCTGGAAGCATCTCCTCTTCACAACTCTGTCTCACAGTGACGGAGCTCAGGTGACTTCAGGAGGAGCCCTCTGCTGAGCTGGATCATGGGGGATCTGAGCCCAGACCCTAACATAGGCTCGAGGCTGAGCCCAAGCTGGTCCCCAGCCTATTGGAGGTGGGGAAAGACAAGGACCTGTTCAGAGTATGCAGTTGGGAGGGAGGGGGATATGTCAGGCACCCACTGCCCCCTTCCTCTCATGCCAGCTCCTGGTGCCTTAGCATTTTGTTTGCATGGGAATGAAGACTAAATACTACTGATGGTGGGACAAAGAGAGCTGTAAACAGCTTGGGTTGGTTCACCCACTATGTGCAGGCTCTTTTGTCTTGGGAACAGAGAAGCAGAGAAAGCCCTTATGGTACAGGATCAGTACAGGACAGAACACAATGATAGCAGCCGTCAAGACGCATGCTCTCTCTGGGTCCTTGGCCCCAGACAAGGAAACACTGAATGAGGTTCTGGAATGGCAATGTAGGCAGGGAGGGGGCAGGGAGTGGCCTCCTCCTCCTGGACCCCCCAAGCATCCCATCAGGCCCAGGGAGAGGCAGTCTGCAACCCGAGCTCAGGACAAAGGGCCTAGCAAGCAGACCTGAGCCCCTGTATGAAGTACAACCACCGAACAGGCTCTTCTGGCCTCATCTCCAACATCCTATCTGCCTTTGACAAAAACCAAAAAATAAATAGTGTGTATTTTTCATGCCACCTGGATTTCTTGGCTGAGACCAGAGGCACAAGCCCTCCTCCTCTACCCCACACCCTGGTGCCCATGCCAAGAGCACTTCCGCCCAACCAGGGGCTGGCAGCAGCACAGCGAGGGTCTCTGGCCTTATGGCCCCTGGCAGCAGGCCCTCCAGGGTCCTGGTTGAGGGGCTAGCTCAGCCCTTTGGTCCACTTTGTTCATTAAAATTAAAACAAGAAAAAAAAAGGCTCCACTTGGTGACTTGGGTATGTAGACATCTTTGCTTCGACCTTCTGTCCGTCATTCCCTTCAACCTGCAAGGCATCGTGCAGGCCAGACCTGGAAGCTGGACCCAGCCACACCCACCAGTCATTGTAGCTTTGTCCCCAATTTGCGCTGTCTGTTCCTGAAAAATGTGGATGGGGGTCAAATTCAGAATGGCTGGAGCTTAGTGACCCACACACTGAGTCCCTCTGTCACCAAGCTGTCCCTTCCCTACCCACAGTACCAATGAAATGGGCAACTGCTAGGCTAATCAGAGCTCCTGCCTGGGAACTAGAGCCTGGAAACCTAGAGATGGTCACTCTTTCTGGTCAGTAGCCCTGAAGCCTAGTGAGTGAAGCTATGTGGTTGGGGTTTGGGGGCACAGGGGAAGAGGGAAAAAGGTATGTATATGGATCAAGCGGAGAAAACAGAGGTAAAAGGGTCCTGGCTGGATTCCAACTAATCATGGGCGTTCCCCTTCACGTAGATGCATATAAGTAGGGTTCTGTTATTAGCAACCAAAATAGAATCATAACAAGCTTTCTTTTCAGGAGGTATGCAAGCAAAGACTGGAGAACTACTGATGGAGGTTACAGAGGGGCGGTAAAGTCTGGTGGTGTGGCTACATGGCTAATAGGCCGAGGAACCTGGAGGGGAGCAGAGGAAATCACTCCTATTCTCAGGAGATGGGAGAGCTGGCTGAGGCTCAGAAAGGAGAAAAGGGCTTATCTAGGGTCCCAGAGTTAAAATCCAGAAACCTAACAGTGACTCATAAGGCCCTGCATGATCTGGCCCCAACCTTGCGGCACCCGCTTGCTCCTGGCTTCCAGCCCCACATGCTCTGTCTGTTCAGTGGGCTCATCAAGCTTCATCTGCCTCAGGAATGCAGTACATTGCGGTATCCTCTGCTGAGAACACTCTCCTTGCCAGCCCTCAACTGCCTCAGGCCTTCTGTGAAGTCCATCCCTGGCCCAAGCCCCACACTGTGTTCCTGTCACAATTCTCAAGGTCCATGGCACTGATCACACAGGTGATCATTCTTGTGTCACCATCTGGCCACATCTGTCTGCCTTGTCTGATGTGAATACCACGAGGGCAGGGACTGCGGCTGTCTCACTCTGCACTTAGCCCCAGCATGAAGCCTGGCAGAGTTGAGTACACACTGGGGCCTTGGTAAATGAAGGCTGGTGGCAACTAGCCAGGCAGAGCAGGGCAAGGCAAGGTAGGGCTGGCTGCTCTCAGAGCCAAGGGGAAAGCTCAGATGGGGCCAGCTAGGTCTTTCCATCACTCATGGGACTGCCCTGCCCTAACCCCCTCAAATCCCTTTTCCTCACAGATCTGGGGCTTTACCCTTAAGCACATTAGGATCATTTGGACCATGCTGCTTTAAACACATTTCCTGGCCAATGCTATGGTCTCACCCCACCTCACACCCCTCCACCCCACCCTATGGTTCCTTTCACTGGCTCCTTGGAAAATCTTACAGGGCCTCCCTCCTCTTCTACCCTCTGGAGTCTAACCCTGCCTCAGCTCCCCACAGCACCAAGGAAGGAGCCACCCCTCCCTTCACTCCTACAAGTGCCCAACCCAGGATTTGGGGTAAGTGGAAAAGCAGGTCATGAGTTAGGAAACTCCAAAGCCTAGCTTTGCCTCAACTATTCTGAAGAACCATGGCTATCCCCTCAACTCACGGTGCCTCAGTTTACTCATCTCTAAAAAGATGTCTGGACTAAACCCCATGGAATGTCCGCACACAGGCACCCTGGGAAGCTCCACTGTTCTGGTCTCTGTTTTGGGGCTGTAGAGGTTAAAAGCACAGGTTATGTATGGGCCAAACAGCCTAGATTCAAGCCTAGTCACTAGCTGTCAGACCTCAGGCAGGAGGCTTTCCCTCTCATTAAGCCTCAGTGTTCTCACCTGTAAAATGGGGACCATTATAAGGATCCCATGAGGCTCTGAGAGAAAAGTGAGTAAGCAGGTGCCTGGCTCTTGAGGAATTGTCCAAAAAGGGGGCAGTGGCGAGGCTGGGGTGGGCCCCTGAACTTACCTGGCTTCTGCCCGGGTTACTGTGTACTCAAACCAGAGCACATTGGGAATGAGGCTTGTGTCTCGGATTAGGAAGAACTCAGAGATAGGCCTGGAAAGAGATGTCCAGACAGGCACGGCCATGTCAGAGCCAGAAACTGTCACCAAACCAGATCCCCCAATTTGTGCCTGGGACCAGTGCATCTCACCCTAGTGCCCAGGAAGTCATGGAGTAGTCCTGACACATCAGCTCTGGTGAGGGTTCCACCCCCCATGGTACACACAGCCCCGCATGACTTAACTCAGACTGCTTCCTAAGTCCCTGAGAACCCAGCTGAGGATAGAGGATGGGAGCCTAACTGATGGGCCTGAGGAATCCCTCTCTCCTCAACATCTCTGCAGCAAACCCGCCAGAGGAAGTGGAAACCAAGTAAGTGGGAACTGCAGCCTGATGTCCACCAGCAGCTGGGCAGTAGAGCCCTGACAGGGAGATTTAGGCTGGGGTCAGGACACCGGGGTCCTCCTCCTGTTAGCCCTATCTGCAGGAAAGGACAGACGCCATGGTGCCCAGGAAAGTGGGAGGGGCAGCAAGCAAGGCAGGAGGGAGTTACCAGGCTGCTATCCTGGGGAAGAGCGGGGTGAGGACCTCCTGGGTGAAGATGAACCAGGCGATGGCCATGAGGCTCCCGGCGATGCCCCCATAGAGCACCTGGCTCCAGGTGTGGTACAGCAGGTAGACCCTGGGCCAAGGCCAGAAGGGAAGCTCATGAGAGCCAACCAGAGAGAGGCCTGCCCAATCCCCCACGCCCAAGTGCCATCTTCCCAGGGACCTGTGTGAGCACATGTGGAGATAGACAGATAGGACACAGGATCCTGTGAATGACCTCCGACTGACTTCCAGGAGGAGGCAAGGTTTGGGCCCCAACAGGTGCTCCCTTCTCGAGAAGTAAGAGGGAAGAGTGGCTCAGCTGGGATCTGCCTCGCCTTCAGTCCAACCCTTGAACTCTTGAGTTCATCTGCAAGGGGCTCCTCCAGGGTTCTGGGAACAGATGGCTGAAACATGCAGGTATCCCAGAACCTCAGCCAAGAAAAAGAACAATAGCTAGGCTGGAAGGAACAGCTGGAACCTGTACCTTTAAAGCTAAAGGCTAGGACCCTTGCCCCTGCCCTCCCTCCTCTACAGGCTCTAGGACTGGGTCCACACCAGGGACTCCAAAAGAGAATGCAGTCCAATGCAGAAAGACCGCAAACGGGCAAAGTATATGTTGGGGAGCCTTCCCCATCCCCTGTACCTGCTGTAGGAGACTAGAAAGGCTGCAGTGAGGAGACCCAGGGAGAGCACATGCCTCCATAGCAAGTCCAGGAACCTGGCGTTATTCGTTTGGTGCATTCTGGGAAAACAAGCCAGTCATACAGCCTCAGCTCACGTAAACAGTTCCTGGACCCATCCAAACACTCACTGGGCACCTTCTACCTTAGCTCCAGCTTCTTCCACATCTAGAGGAAGTCAAGCCCCCAGGTATGTCCTAAGGGTTAACAGTGGTCCTTGGCATAGCCTAGCCTGAACAGTACAGGGCCACCCCAGTGAGGATACATGCTTACCTTAAATATAGGAAGAGGAAAGAATAAACAGAGAAGAACCACATAAACTGGGAATGGCTGGAGGGCATCCCGTACTTAGTACCCACTGCCGTGTGGGGGCCTGAAAAAAAAAGGAGAGCAGGGCATCATGGGAGAATTCAGGCCTCCATAATACCATGACCTGTGGGATGCCCCTGCCCCTACAGACCAGGTCCTACCTCCACAGGGCCGTGGTTCCTGGATGACGTGTTTGATGAGCCAGTTAACCCCCTCGTTCAGTCCCAGACCCCCGAGAAATGAGATCTGCTGGAGAAGAGATAGGATCAGTTGGGCCGCCACCAAGTCCCAAAGACCCTGGCCTCTGACTGAACCACCAAGCCCAACTAGTAAGTAAATCTGGAACCAGCCAAGTTCCATACTATACCTAAAAACAGGTGGAAGCTAGAAATGAGAAAAAAAGCACCTGGGAGTTACTGGGGACCAGGGGTGTGTGTGTGTATGTATGTGTGTATGTGTGTGTGCGTGTGCACAGACTCACCGTGTGTAGCTCCCGCTTGAATATGATTAGGGTCACAAATCCAACAATGACAAACACAGGGCTGAGGCTCAGGTAGGCAAGGAGGTGGCCTGAGAGATCACCTGGGGAAAACAGGGAGAACGAGATGAGGCGCAGGCATCCACAGAAAAGTAGCTGCCCCAGAGTTGTCAATTATGGCCTGAGCCAGAAAAGGGGTCCCCAACAGGGCAGGCAGCCAGAGATGTCTCAGTCTACCAGCTGGTTATACCAACCCAGTCACAGGCATAATATGAAGGCATCTATTTACCAATCAAGGAGTCCTGGTGGCTGTGGATTAAGCATTGAGCTGCTAACCACAAACTTAGCAGTGGCAGTTCAAACCCACCAACCACTCCAAGGGAGTAAGATGAGGCTGTCTCCCATAAATATTTATAGACTTGGTCCATCTTCTGCCTATAACTGACTGGAATACCTAAAATGGGGCTACAATGTGCCCAGTGAAGGAGGCTTCCTGTGGAGCCTCTGCATTACTTAAGTCCATAGGTGAAATCCTGGACCCCATCCAGAATCTTCTGAGATGGGAAATTTCCACTTGAAAGGACAAGCAGATCAGCCTGGAGCGGCTAGAAGAACAGAAGATACTTCTTTAAAGAAAGACCAACAGAAAAAATACAAAACAATAGAGGCATTCCGACTGATTACTATAACAACAAGCAAGTTACTCACCCAGGAGACATCAAGCCAAGTTGTCGGGTCCCCTCAGGGCAAACCCCCTTCCAAGACTAAGACTCAATGGGAATACACGCTCTGATTGGTGACCGAGTTCCTCATTGATAAGGGAAAGTAAGGGAAAAACAGCAATGAAGCTGAAAGCTAAGCCCTACAATGTTCAATAAATTCCTTTGAACCTGGGTGGAGACCTGGTTGGCCAGCAGTGTGGCAAGACCTGGGGACTCTTGGGCCCAGAGTCAGTGACATAGCCATAGAGGACTAGAGTGGAGAGTGAAGCATTCAGCTGATATGAAGAGAGGACATATGCATAAGAACACCCACACTTGCAGATAATACTCACTTGACCTGCCTTCAATGACTGGATGATCAGAGCTCAACTAGAAGAAGAAAGAAGACGAAAAAAAGAGCAATCTGATACAATTTGATGAACTTGACCTACACCTATGGATGCAGTAGCTCAAAAGAGGGAACAAATCTTTACAGAGAGGATCATTCCTACCCCTGCCATAACAGAGTAAGCTGGGATGGGCAACTTGGACATTGGCTACCCAAAATGGGGGGGGAGGGGGCTATAAAGGCAAGAAGTGACTGGCTTACAAGCTTTCAAGAGGGAGCGTAGATCCAGAGGGCACAGAGGAAGGTAGAATCTCCACTGAGTAGTATCCAATCTGTCTAGGCAGAGCTGATGAAAGGAGATGCAGATAGGTCTCTTATGATACAACAGTGAATAATTGTTATCAGGACTGATGGTGAGGGTTGGAAATATAAAGGTAGATGTTTTGTAGCAAAAGGAGGGGAGTGAGTGCTTTGTAGTCTAGGAGCGGAGGTCCCTGGACCATCAAGGGAGAAGAGCGGAGAGAGGGACCCTACCCAGAGAAGCAGTGACACCAGAAATGGAGGCAGAGACGATAACGTAGAGAGATGGAGCAAATGGGGACTTTAGACCCAGAGAGGGAGAGGGGCTGTGTGCTGACAATCAGGGGGCAGGCTTTTAGGGTATACCCTTTGGTTGGTTGACGATACATGAAGGGGACTGTAATCATGACAATGAAACAATATACGATAGGATGAACATAAAGCTAATATTCTGCCATGTAAACTATTATATAATTCACAATAAAACATTAAAAAAAAAAAGAGAGAGAGATACAGACTTGGAAACCCTATACAGGGTCACTGTGAGTCAGAATCAACTCAATGACAGAGGGTTGGGTTGGGTTTGGATTTGGGTTTTATTTACCAAGCATTAAAGTTTATACAAAGGAGTCCTCGTGGCACTGTGAACTAAATATTGGACTGCTACTTCAAGCTCAGCAGTTCAAACCCACCAGCTGTTTCATGGGAGAAAGATGAGGCTGTCTGCTCCCATAAAAATTTACAGCCACAGAAACCCTAAATAGGGTCACTGTAAGTTGCAATTGACTAGGTGACACTGGGGTTTGGGGGGGAAGGTCATACAACAATCTCTAGTGGTGCACTGGTTAAGCACTCAGTGGTTGGAACCCACTGGTCATGCTCCACAGAAACAAAGACTTGCTGCTTTACAGTCTAGGTTTACAGTCTAGGAAACGCTTTGGGGACAACTCTACTCTATCCTCTAGGGTCCCCTATGATTGGAATTGAATTTAAAATTCATGTAAGTTTGAAGCAAGTGCCTTTACTATCCTCTAATCCACAGATGAAAAAGCTAATTCCCAGAGGGGTTACATGACTTGTCCAAAGTCATACAGCCTAAATGAGGTGGAACCTGGACTAAAATCCAAGTCTTTGGTCTGGTCCAGGGCTCTTAACCCACTACTCCCACCCAAGCAAGACTTGAACCAATGAGGTCGGACTCCAGAGGCTGAGCACTGTACTGGGGAGGCAGCCTGGAAGGCTTGGAGTCTGTAAATCCATGGGCTCTGGGTTTCTAGGTATGACTGGTGTTCTCTAAGCATCACACAGACTCAGGTCCACACTGAAGACTCCAACAGGGTCTGAGTTCTGGGGCAAAGGAGGTTACTCAGCCCAGTATGTCTGCCTGTTTTGTATCTCTCCACTGCTAAGAAATTGGTCTAGCCACCTGTTTTTCATTCCAGCAGTTCGAAACTACCAGCTGCTCACGGGAGAAAGATGAGGCTTTCTTCTCCTGAAAAGATTTACAGCCTCGGAAACCCTGTAGAGTGTCGCTATGAGTCGGAACCGACTTCACAGCACATAACAACAACAGTAGGCCTAGGGGAGTCCTGGTGTGGTGCTGTAGGATAAGCATAAGACTGCTAACAGCAAAGTCAGCAGTTCAAACCCACCAACCGCTCCTCAGAAATCCTATACAGGGTTGCTATGAGTCGCAACCAACTTGATGGCACTTAAAAAAACAGGCCTAGGAAAAAACCCTGGTGACACAGTGGGTAAAGGCACTGTGCTACTAACAGCAAAAGGTCAGCAGCTCACATCTACCAGCCACTCAAGGAGAAAACTGAGGCTCTCTGCTTCTGTAAAGATTTACAGTCTCCTCTCAACCACTCTTTAGGTCTGTAACAGAATTCACCCTCATGGCTCAATTTTTAGCCAAGCAGTAGACAGGTATATGGGGGGAGTGGGGGCAACAATATTAGTAAGGTATGTTCATCATGGAGTGTTCAACCATTAAAAAAAAAAAAAAGGCAACATTTTCCTAAGAGAAGGGATGGGAAGGTGGGTGGAAGAAGCAAGATAACTGTTGTTGCAGGGAAGGGATTGCAATCACTGAGATGTTGAATGTAAAGCTGATGATCTTGTTTGTAAACCTTTACTCAATTCACAATCAAAAGTTTAAATAAATAAAGATTGAGTCTTGAAAATCCTAGGGATTAGTTCTACTCTGCCTATAGGGTTGCTGTGAGCCAGAATTAACTCAGTGGCAGTGGGTTTGGTTTAGGTCTTTGAATAGACCTAGCACAGAGGCAGTATGAGGATCACATAGCACTTCTGAGAGACTCACTAAAGCCACTTTTCCCCTTGACCAAGGGCAGGACTGAGCCTAAATCCAATGACAGCATTTACCATCAGAGGCTAGCTCTGTGCAACTCTGGGGTCAGAGGGCACTGTACTTGCTGGCTGCATGGCCTCAGGCCAGGACTTTAACTCTTTGAGCTTCAGCTATTTCATCTATAAAAAGGGGATGTGAGTGTCTATTTTCTATGGTTGTGTGAGCATTTGATGAGATGGAGGTTGTGATGGGTCAGGTACCCAAAGCACTGCCATGCTGGGAAGACTCAATGTGGGAAATGGCCCTATCACCAGCCTGGTGCTCACGCTGGATTGAGCCCATCTCAGGCCTCACCACCTACTCAGGCTAGTGCTGGCTTGGGGATGATCTGGAAGAACTGAGCATCCATCTGGGTGATATCAACTGGACCTCCCGGGTACTTGGAGGACACTGAGCAAGGGTCTTAGCTTTTCTTGGCCTGTCTCCCTATCCATACAATGACCTGGCTCTTCAAGTCCTGAGATAATCTCAGCTTCCTAGCTGACCCCCCAGGGCCCTGGGCTGAGGCCTGGGAGTGGTTGGCTCCTCTAAACCTCTGGTCATCTCCAAGGCCCATCCACAGTTAGGGCCACTCAAGCTTTTCTGCAGATGCTGCTGTCAGTGGTCTGCCCTCTCCACTCTCTGATCCAAGCTCCTTCGTGGCTCTTACTGCTCTCCACCTAAGTCCAACTTGAGTCCAGCTCATCAGGCCCTGCACCTCCCCCACTCTGCCCTAGTTCCAGAGAATTAACACTAGCTCCCTGAATGCACCGTGCTCTGTCCTACTTTTTGATATTTGTGCACACCCATTTCCCCACCTGGAATGTCATATAGGTTAAGACAACAAATATACACGAAGTAGCTACCATGGTAGCAAAAAAAAAAAAAAAGGGACAGGCATATTCCCTGTCACCGTGGACCTCTTAGCCTAGCAGGGAATCTGTAATTGGAGCATCAGTCATGATATACTCATTAGTATAAATAGTGAGCTGTCAGGCTCTCCTTCTAAACGCCATAGACCCGGTACAGACTCTCAACACCATACTTGTCAGGAAACTGGGCTCCAAAATAATGTTAAGTGAATAGACAGATGAATGAAGCAACTACCAGTGTGATGAGGGCTGCAATGGAGAAGTGCACAGGGCAGCAGAACAGTATGCAGGGAACTAGCAGTATTTACCAGGGAGTTCTGGTGTGGCACTGTAGGATAAGCACTGAACTGCTAACAGCAAGGATGGCAGTTCAAACCCACCAGTGGCTACTCAGAAACCCTATACAGGGTCGCTATGAGTTGGAAATGACTCAATGGTACTTAACAACAGTATTCACCAGATGTCTCTAGATTCAGTCAGGTCCCTCCTCTGAGCATCCACAGTCCCTGCAAAGGTTCCTTCATCACAGCCTATGTCATGCTACTTGCAAGTACCAGGTTCCTTTCTGTGTTGCTTGTTAGATAGTAAACGTTATAAGAAACTACTTTCAGGACTTAGTCAAGTACCCCTCCCTCTCCAGGCCTCAGTTTCCCACCTCTAAAGTAAGGGTTTTTCATTAGCCCTGTGACAGTTTGGGGCCAGGTGCTCAGGAACTTACTGGATACTGGCTGAATGAATGAATGAATGAATGGTGGGCAGGCAGGTGGGAGGGGATCAGCCTCTGTCAGGGCCAGTATGGCCCTCCAGTTTAACCCAAAATACCCAGAACCAAAAATCCCTGGCATCCAGCCCTGAGGCCCTCAGCAGTGCTAGCTTCTCACATGCCTGTCCATGACAAAAAGCAGGAGCAGGCACTTGCTGCCATAACCAGGACTCACCCTGAACCCATGGTCCTACCCAGGGAAGGAAAGGTCGGGTTCAGAGAGTCCTGGGAAGGAATACCACTAACTGAAGTTACTGACTTTTATTGTGCACTACACATTTAGCTCTGGTAGCGTAATGGTTACTAGTCGAGCTAACCTCAAGGTCAGCAGTTCGAAACTACCAGCTGTACTGCGGGAGAAAGATGAGGCTTTCTACTCAGGTAAAGACTGACAGTCTCGGAAACCCCTCGCAGGGTCGCTATGAGTCGGAACCAGCTCCATAGCACATCAGCGCCACCACCACCACACACTGAGCTCAGTACTGCTCAAGTTTTGTTACCTGATTCTTACACCACCTAGCAGGGAGTTAATGTGATTAGTTCCAATTTAGAGATGAAGTTAACTGATGGACTCCTGGTGTGGCGCTGCAGGATCAGCCTAGACTGCAAACCACAACAAGTCGGCAGTTCAAATCCACCAGCTGCTCCTCAGAAACTTTATACAAGGTCGCTGAGTCGGAACCGACTTGACAACACAACTGAGGCGTAGTGTGCTGAGGTTACTTGCATCAGAACTTGAGCCCAAACTCCTCTGCCCGCAAAGCCCAAGCTCTGCACCACTTGTACAAGACTCCTAGTCCGCAAGCTAATGGAACTCCCAACTGGAAAACCCGAAGCTTCTCCAGTTATTTTTCACTGAAAGCCCTCAGAAGTCAAGATCCCTGAAGCTGCCTGCCCCCAGGACAAAGCCCCTCTACTGTGGAGCCTTGGCCTGTTCAGGGCGTGGCACTCCGAAGTCTTTCAAACAAAGAAGCTGCCTGGCCTCCACTTGTACACTGCCAGCAACGGGGAGTTCTTTCTCTTACAGGCACTGTTCACAGAAAGCAAACACCCCTGCACGGAGAGGAGTCCGGCCTCCCTGGCTACGGGAAGGACAGAGTAGAAGGGGCTACAGTTCAAGTCAGTGATCCTTTAGCGCATCACGATAGACCCCCGCCCCCCTACAGTCCACCCGTGCCCCGAGACCTGGGAAGCGCCCCGACGCGCAGCCGCAGAATGCGTGATCGAGCGGCTCACAATTTCGCCCAGCTCATCGCCACACCACCGCGCCTGCGCGGCGCGCGCGCCAGCCGAGCCCCTCCATGGTTCACTGTTTGACAGTTCTCACCCGGGTCCCCCGGCGTCCCCTTCTCAGACTCACGCGGGTCGGAGCGCGCGTAGCTGAGGGGCCAACCCCGGGCTTCGAGAACGCCGGGGACCCCTTTTACCTGCAGGATATTCGACGTGGGTGAGGATCACCGGCCGCCATGAAGCGGGGAGCGAGCACTGTCCGTCCGCTGCCATCTTACCCGGAGACCGGGCTTCGACGAACAGCCAATGGGGAGCCAAGGGGGCGGTGGTCCTGACCTATCACGCCGGGGAGGCACCGCGCACCCAATCAGAGGCCAATGTAGGTAGTAGAGCAACCATTCAGCGTTCAGGCCGTGTGGTTGGTCCGAACGACGAATCAGAGAGCGGGACCCCTAGGAGCTTGCGAGCCTACCAAACCGGTACTCAATCCAGGGCGAGTGAAGTTCTGGTCTTGGCCAATCAGGAGGGGGGAGGGTCCAACTCGGAATAGAGAGCCGAATAGCCAATCAAAAGGTGAAGTCGGCTCAAAATGTGGGCCGGACGGGCCAATCAAGCGATAGCTTGGGGGGCGTGTTGGGCTTTGGTGGGAGCTTTGGTTTAGCTGGGATCTACATCCCTGAGTGAAGATTTCTCCAGTATTCAGAGCTCATTCAGGGTGGTAAGACTTAGACGCCCGTCTGAGTGCATGCTCGAAACAGAGGGCCGTTTTCTACACGCTGGGGTCTGAGCCGACCCACTTTTCACGAGTAAATTAATAACAGACCCAGAAAAAAAATATTTTTTAATCTCTGTCCTTTTCTAACTGACAGAAAGGTTCACCAAGCAGAATACTGTGTGCGGGGTGGTACATAAAAAATGGTTGAATTGAAATGTTTATATATATATATTTAACCACAATAAAAAAAAATTTATGTGGGGTGAATGGGATGAGGGAGGCAACTTCCAAGGCAGGGAGCTCAGTAAGCCCCCAAACACGTTTATAGAATGTAAGCTTCTTCATTGAGGTTAAGAAGGACTCTCCTTTCATTCAGTCAACAAAGATTGATTGATTCGGTCACAATTATGCTACTTAAATGAGACATCTTGAGAGCGTCTTCAACAAGAAGTTACTACCACCTACACCTGTTTCCTCAAAACATTCCTTTCTAGCCCTGGACTTCTCCACCCACCTCACCCTCTCCTACCGCCACTCTCTCCCTGTTGTTGAGTGTTGATTTCCATTCATAGTGAACCTGTATAGGGTTTCCGAGGAGCAGCCGATGGGTTTGAACCGCAGACCTTATGTTTAGCAGTCCCGTGCTGATCCTACAGTGCCACCGCAAGCCAAGTTGAATTGCTAGCAGTCCAGATAAGGTTCCTAGCTTCCACTTGTGTTTGCTGGTGCTGGTCTGCTGCCTGGAATGCACTAGCCCCACTTTGCTTAACCAAGTACAATTCAAGTGACTGTTACCACTTAGAGGTTTCCTCAGCTAAGTGAGGGGCCTCCACTGGGCTCCCACATTTGCACCCCCTTTCCTACCTCAGTGATCACACTGGACTGTAATTTGTTGTCTGTCTTTTCCAGAAAACAATGATTCTCTGACTTCATAGAGTGCCAGATCACTTGTAAAAAAATGCAGAATATTGAGGCCAGAGATCTGTAGCAGCAGATTTTCCCAATGCAATGTTATTTGACTGATGTATTGGACAAATCTGCTGCAAAAGACCTCTCCAAAGTGTTAAAAAGCAAAGATATCAATTTGAGTACTAAAGTGCATCTGACCCATGTCATGGTATTTTCAATCATCACATATGCACGTGAAAGCTAGACAATGAATAAGGAAGACTAGAAAAAGAGTTGATGCCTTTGAATTATGGTGTTGGCAAAGAATATTGACTATATCCTGGACTACCAGAAGAATGAATCAATCTGTCTTTGAAGAAGTATTGCCAGAATGCTCTTTACTTTGCCTCACTAACTTTGGTCATGTTATCAGGATGGACCAGTACCTGGAGGACATTATGCTAGGTAAAATAGAGTGCCAGAGAAAAGAGGAAAGCTCTTATCAACGAATTGACACAATGGCTTCAATAATGGACTCAAATAATGCGATTATTTTAAGGATGGAGCGGGTAGTATTTTCTTTTAATGTACACAGTGTCTCTAGAAGTCGGCACCTAACAACAACAACTACACTGGGACCAGGGCTGATTCAGTAGATCTGAGTCAGAGACTTAGAGTCAGCAGGTGATTCTGATATAGGTGATTTTGTCCAGCTACACCTGAAGAGGCCCTGGACTTCATGAGGACAAGGCCTGTTACATCCCTGAGCCTGGCCCAGAGCAGGTCTAGACCAAACTAAGCAGCCAAACCCACTGCCATCAAGTTGATTCTGACTCATAACAATTCTATAGAACAGAGTAGAACTGCCCGATAAGGTTTCCAAGACTGTAAATATTTACGGAAAGAGACTTCTGTATCTTTTTCTCCTGTGGAACAGCTGGTGGGTTTGAACCACCAACCTTTAGATTAGCAGTAGAGTACTTTAACCACTGTGCTACCAGGACTCCTAACCTAAAACAATGCTAGGGAAATGACATAAGTGCTTATAAAGTAAAGAGTAACCACTGACCAGAGTGGCTTGCCCTGTGAGCCTGCTGAAGCCAGGACTGTAGGGTGGGCTGAGTGGGCTGATGGAGACTCAGAACCTACAATTGAGCAGGAGGGCCCCTCAGCCTAAGCTGAGCTGTGCTCAGTCCTCCATATGGCCTAACCTAGGCATGCCTGGGTCAGATGTTCCCATCTTCCTGTCACCTGCCCTCAGCTACCTTCAGCACTGCTATTATTAGCCTCTAAAGAGAAGGGTGTGATAAGCAGGCTGTGAACTTCCCAGACTCATTCCCTGGGGTAGGCTTGCTATCCCAGGTCAGAGCTGCATCTTCCTCAGTTAGCCACAACTTTACTGATGAGCAAATAAGCCTAGGAAGGCAAAGCTCCTGAAACCCAGGCCTGTCTGACTCTAAAATCCTTTTACCTCAGGGAGAGCACTCCTGAGGAAGTGACAGGCATTGAGAAACTATACAGTGAGAGGAATTATCCAAGCCAAGAGGATAATGTTTTCCAGGTAGAGGGAACAGCTTCCGCAAGTACCCTGCAGTAGAAGTATATTATTAGGTGTTGTGGAGTCGGTTCAACTCATAGCAACCCTTATAAGCCTTCCGAGGAGTGGCTGGTGGGTTGGAACCACCAACTGCCAACCTTCTTGTTCAAATTGACCTTGCATTCCAGTGCTTATCTTATAGTGCTACATCAAAACTCCCAGCAGGAGTATAGCTAGATGAAAACAGGCAAGAGAGAAAGGTGATGAATGAGGGGGTAAGGTTGGCAGGGGCCTATCCAATACATTTTGTGAGCCACTGTTGGTGGTGAGGACAGAGGGGCTGGTTATTAGCTTTTTTTTTTTTTTTTAAATGTAACATTCATATAGACAATTCTAGAAATCATACATATGCCAGATTTTCACCAACACGACACAGATGTGTAGCATGCCCCAGATTAAGAAGCAGATAATTGCATCCCAGGAGCCCCTCATACCTCTGCCGTCTCCCCAGGGTGACCAGCATCCTGACTTCTAACACCCTAGATTGGGTTTGCCTGTTTTTGTGTCAAGTTTTAAAAAGCAAAGCTGTCAGATTATTAACTAAGGTGCACCAGACCTAAGCCATGGTCTTCTCAGTTGCCTCATATACATACAAAAGCTGGACAATAGAAAAGGAAAACAGAAGAATTGATGCATTCTAACTGTGGTGCTGTTGAAGAATACTGAATATACCATGTGTTGTTTTGTTGTTCTTAAATGCCATCAAGTTGGTTCTTCCCCATGATGACCCAGTATAGGGTTTCTGAGGAGCAGCTCATGAGCTTGAACCGCCAAGCTTGAACCGCAGACCTTGCAGTTCAAACCAACTTTGCAGTCCATCACATTAACCCACAGCACCACACCGGACTCCTGAATATACCGTGTCATGCCAGAAAAATGAGCAAATTGGTCTTAGAAAAGACAGATGTGAAGATGGTGAGACATCAGCTTGCTTACTTTGGACACATCATTAAGAATGACCAATTGCTAGACAAGGGCGTCATGTTTGGCAAAGTAGAGTGCCAGTGAAAAACAAGGGAAAGCCTCAATGAAATGGATTGGCACATTAGCTGCAACAATGGCTTCAAACATATCAAGGCCAGGAGCAAGCATTGTTTCATTTTGTTACACACAAGGTGGTTGCAAGTTAGTGCCAACTCGATGGCAACAACAACAGAATCCTATAGTGTGGACTTTTGTGTGTGTGGCTTCTTTCATTCAGCATTAGGTTTGTGATTTGTGAGAAGTATTCTATCTGTTCTGTGGCCTCTGGCTGTAGTTTTTTCACTCTCACTGCTGTACATACCAGTTTGTTTTCCATTTTACTGCTGATGGACATATGAACTGTTTCTAGGTTTGTGGTGTTACAAATAGTGTTGCTGTGAACATTCATAAACATATTTTTGGTACACAGATGGGTGCATTTCTGATGGATATGTGCCTAGGAGGGTATGTGTCTTGTGAGTAGATGGAAGAGATGAGGTAGGGAGGCCTTCTGTGGGGATGAGGGGCTAGGCAGTGCAAGAGTGAGTGCTTCCAGGAAGTTCATAGGAGGGCAGCTACCTCCTTGAGGTCAGGGTTCGATGAAGATACCATTCTGAGCATGTTGGCCAGTGCTCCATCTTTAGTCCTTTCTGTTATCTTCACAACAACCCTACAAGGCAGCCCTTAATGCCCAGAGTTTGTAGCTGAGAAGATTAAGGCTCAGAGGGTAGAGACATCTGCATGGTCACCTGGCTAGTATGTGGTGGAGTCAAGATTTAAATCTGATGGCCAGACCCAAGTTCTGAACCACCCTGCATCATATGAACCAAACTGCTGGCTGGCTCCACCCACTGCCCAGGACTCGGTCTGGCTTTTCACCTCTAGCCTCTGTGGTAGGGCACTCACAGACAGGGAGCCCCAAAATTAGAGGCACAAAGTCTCTGTGCACCACACTAGTTTGAACTCAAAGTCCTGACCACTAGTTTGTACCCCACCACACTAGTTTGTACTCAAAGTCCTGACAAGCCTTTAGTAAACTCTCTTCCCCTCTTAGGGACTGTTTCCCAGAAATGTGGTGACTACTGCTCTCTAGACTAGAAATTCATTCATTCATTCATCTCAGGAGATAT